CGGATGCTTTGTTGTCTGCAAAGACGGCAAAGCAAAAGAATGCTTGTACATGTCACTTACAATTGGTGCGCTCAATCAGTTTCTTGCCGGTGTTGCTAGGAACGACACAAAAGTCCTTGCTGAACTGGCCTGCTTCTTCGGTGGGCATTAGATCGGTCAAAAAGCATCTGCCGTTTTCCACTTCGAATATTTTCGGCATATTCCTGGTCATTTCCTTTGTATTTATTCAAGCATTTTGAGTGTCATGTTGTACTTAACGATCAGCCCTCTCATTACAATACGAAGAGTTGAGGTAATCCCGAGAACATTGTTCGCTTTGGTGAAACTCCGCCAAGGGGGGGGGGCACTCATAATATCTCATCCACATGCCTTATCAAAGTGACTATCTAATCAAAACAGAGTTGCGGAAAAGCCCTCATATCCTATCGACGTTCAGAGCACAGGCTCTGATACGCGATTAGATAGGGATATCTCTCGGATAGTGCAAAAAAAAACGATCTAAAACCAGGACTTTCCGAGTTCAAACAGGCCGACCAATGCAAGTTTGGCATCAATGGAGCGATTGTAGCAATGGCAGGCCACCGCCTCAACGAGAGATGTCCTGATTGAGTTTGATAAGATATGAGTGCCCTTCCTCAACCCTGCTGTGATTAGATACGAGGGCTTTAACGCGATTCGGTTTTGGTTAGATAGTCACTCTAAAAAGACATGTAGATAAGATACTATGAGTGCCTCCCTTAGCGGAGTTTCACCTTCGCTTTGACCTCTTTGTAGGCTACCAAAAATCGAGATTCTCGACTACTGACCTTCATGCCTTCAATCTTTCAAGACGGCTACACGTCGGCTCGTAATATGGTGTATCACAAATGCGATAAGAATAGAAAAAAAACAAAGTAGTTTTGCTTTTTATGCATTGTAGATTTCGTAATTCACCTAATTTCTCTTTCGCTGAAATTCCTTTCAAAAACAGCGCCCATGTTGTATATCCCATGACTATGTTTTCTTTTCTACAAACATCCACTCTTATCAGCGCCCTAGTATTTATTTTCGCGTCCATTTTGCCTTAAAATATTGATGTTCGGCGAAAATCAACACAGAAGCAACAGTATAAAAGCTGGCCGGGTGATTCATCGACACGTTCACAGAATACGAAGGATATAGGTGCATTTTTTTTTCTCCAGATCATCCTTTTCTCTCATAC